CATCACCACACACCACCATCATCACCATCACCACCACCATCATCATCCAAATTATCATCACCATCATCATCACCACCACCAACACCACCATCATCACCACCACCACCTCCACCACCCACCACCATCATCATCACCACCACCACCATCATCACCATTATCATCACCATCATCATCACCACCACCATCATCACCATCATCATCACCACCACCACCTCCACCATCATCACCATCATCATCACCATCATCATCACCATCATCACCATCATCATCACCATCACCACCACCATCATCACCACCACCACCACCATCATCACCACCACCATCATCACCATCATCATCACCACCACCACCACCATCATCACCATCATCATCACCACCACCAACACCATCATCACCATCATCATCACCACACCACCATCATCAACACCACCACCATCATCACCATCAACACCACCATCATCACCATCATCATCACCATCATCATCAACCATCATCATCATCACCATCACCACCACCATCATCACCATCATCATCACCACCACCACCACCTCCACCATCATCACCATCATCATCACCATCATCATCACCATCATCATCATCACCATCATCACCATCACCATCATCATCACCACCACCACCACCATCAACACCACCACCACCACCATCATCACCATCACCACCACCATCATCACCATCATCACCATCACCATCATCATCTCCACCATCATCATCACCATCATCATCTCCACCATCATCATCACCATCATCATCTCCACCATCATCATCTCCACCATCATCATCACCATCATCATCACCATCATCATCATCACCACCACCACCACCATCATCACCATCACCACCACCATCATCACCATCATCACCACCACCACCTCCACCACCACCACCATCATCATCACCACCACCACCATCATCACCATCATCATCACCATCATCATCACCACCACCAACACCACCATCATCACCACCACCTCCACCATCATCATCATCACCATCATCACCACCACCACCATCATCACCATCACAACCATCATCATCACCACAATCACCACCATCATCACCACCACCTCCACCATCATCATCATCAACCATCATCACCACCACCACCATCATCACCATCATCATCACCACCACCACAACCACCATCATCACCTCCACCACCACCACCATCATCACCATCATCATCACCACCACCACCTCCACCATCATCACCATCATCATCACCATCATCATCACCATCATCACCATCATCATCACCATCACCACCACCATCATCACCACCACCACCACCACCATCATCACCATCACCATCATCACCATCATCATCACCAACCACCACCACCACCATCATCACCATCATCATCACCAACCACCACCACCATCATCACCATCATCATCACCACCACCACCATCATCACCACCACCACCACCACCATCATCACCATCACCACCACCACCACCTCCACCATCATCACCATCATCATCACCATCATCATCACCATCATCACCATCATCATCACCATCACCACCACCATCATCACCATCATCATCACCACCACCACCACCTCCACCATCATCACCATCATCATCACCATCATCATCACCATCATCATCATCACCATCATCATCATCATCATCACATCATCACCATCACCAACCATCATCATCATCACCATCATCACCATCACCATCTCCACCATCATCATCATCACCATCATCACCATCACCATCATCATCATCACCACCACCACCACCATCATCACCATCACCACCACCATCATCACCATCATCACCACCACCACCACCACCACCACCACCATCATCATCATCATCACCATCATCATCACCATCATCATCATCACCACCACCACCACCATCATCACCATCACCACCACCATCATCACCATCATCACCACCACCACCTCCACCACCACCACCATCATCATCACCACCACCACCATCAGCACCATCATCATCACCATCATCATCACCACCACCAACACCACCATCATCACCACCACCTCCACCATCATCATCATCACCATCATCACCACCACCACCATCATCACCATCACAACCATCATCATCACCACAATCACCACCATCATCACCACCACCTCCACCATCATCATCATCACCATCATCACCACCACCACCATCATCACCATCATCATCACCACCACCAACACCACCATCATCACCTCCACCACCACCACCATCATCACCATCATCATCACCACCACCACCTCCACCATCATCACCATCATCATCACCATCATCATCACCATCAGCACCATCATCATCACCATCACCACCACCATCATCACCACCACCACCACCACCATCATCACCATCACCATCATCACCATCATCATCACCACCACCACCACCACCATCATCACCATCATCATCACCACCCCCACCACCACCATCATCACCATCATCATCACCACCACCACCATCATCACCACCACCACCACCACCATCATCACCATCACCACCACCACCACCTCCACCATCATCACCATCATCATCACCATCATCATCACCATCATCACCATCATCATCACCATCACCACCACCATCATCACCATCATCATCACCACCACCACCACCTCCACCATCATCACCATCATCATCACCATCATCATCACCATCATCATCATCATCACCATCATCATCATCACCATCATCACCATCACCACCATCATCATCATCACCATCATCACCATCACCATCTCCACCATCATCATCATCACCATCATCACCATCACCATCATCATCTCCACCATCATCATCACCATCATCATCTCCACCATCATCATCATCACCATCATCATCTCCACCATCATCTCCACCATCATCATCATCACCATCAGCATCACCATCATCATCTCCACCATCATCAGCACCATCATCACCATCATCATCACCATCATCATCACCATCATAATCACCATCATCATCACCATCATCATCAACCATCCATCATCTCCACATCATCATCACCATCATCATCTCCATCACCATCATCATCACCATCATCATCACCATCATAATCACCATCATCACCACCATCATCATCTCCACCATCATCATCATTACCATCATCATCACCATCATCACCATCAACATCACCATCATCATCATCACCATCATCACCATCACCACCATCATCATCACCACCACCATCATCATCACCATCATCATCACCATCACCCACCACCATCATCATCCCACCATCATCATCACCACCATCACATTCATAATCACCATCATCATCTCCACCATCATCATCACCACCACCACCACCACCATCATCATCACCATCATCATCACCACCATCATCATCATAATCACCATCATCATCTCCACCATCATCATCATCATTACCACCACCATCATCACCATCACCACCACCATCATCACCATCACCACCATCATCATCACCACAATCACCATCATCATCACCACCACCATCACCACCACCATCATCATCACCATTACCATCATCATCACCATCATCATCTCCACCATCATCATCTCCACCATCATCATCACCATCATCATCTCCATCACCATCATCATCACCATCATCATCACCATCATAATCACCATCATCACCACCATCATCATCTCCACCATCATCATCATTACCATCATCATCACCATCATCACCATCAACATCACCATCATCATCATCACCATCATCACCATCACCACCATCATCATCACCACCACCATCATCATCACCATCATCAATCACATCACCACCACCATCATCATCACCACCATCATCATCACCACCATCACATTCATAATCACCATCATCATCTCCACCATCATCATCACCACCACCACCATCATCATCACCATCATCATCACCACCATCATCATCATAATCACCATCATCATCTCCACCATCATCATCATCATTACCACCACCATCATCACCATCACCACCACCATCATCACCATCACCACCAGCATCATCACCACAATCACCATCATCATCACCACCACCATCACCACCACCATCATCATCACCATTACCATCATCATCACCATCATCATCACCATCATCATCTCCACCATCATCACCACCACCATCACCACCACCATCATCATCACCATCATCATCACCATCATCATCTCCACCATCATCATCATCATTACCACCACCATCATCACCACCACCATCATCACCATCACAACCATCATCATCACCACAATCACCATCATCATCACCACCACCATCACCACCACCACCATCATCACCATCATCATCACCATCATCATCACCATCATCATCACCACCATCACATTCATAATCACCATCATCATCTCCACCATCATCATCACCACCACCACCACCACCATCATCATCACCATCATCATCACCACCATCATCATCATAATCACCATCATCATCTCCACCATCATCATCATCATTACCACCACCATCATCACCATCACCACCACCATCATCACCATCACCACCATCATCATCCCACAAATCACCATCATCATCACCACCATCCATCACCACCACCATCATCATCACCATTACCATCATCATCACCATCATCATCACCATCATCATCTCCACCATCATCACCACCACCATCACCACCACCATCATCATCACCATCATCATCACCATCATCATCTCCACCATCATCATCATCATTACACCAACCATCATCACCACCACCATCATCACCATCACAACCATCATCATCACCACAATCACCATCATCATCAACCACCACCATCACCACCACCACCATCATCACCATCATCATCACCATCATCATCACCATCATCATCACCATCAATCACCATCATCATCACCATCATCATCATCACCATCATCACCCACCGCACGTGCGACGCATATCGGCAAGGCAGCGTCTCTGCATCCCCCCACCCCCCCTCCATGCCGTGACCCCTTCCCGTGACCCCTGCCCGTGACCCCGCAGGAGGAACATCGCGAGCGGCACCAACGGCAGCGCCCTCCGCTCCTGCCGCTACGACGCCCGGCGCGACCCTCACTGCCCAATCTTCCGCCTGGGAGACGTCGTCGCTGGCGCGGGAGAGAACTTCCAGCAGATAGCGCTGGAGGTGGGGACCACCACCACAACCACTCCGACAACCACAACCACAACCACTCGACAACCACCACAACCACCACAACCACCACCACAACCACTCCTACAACCACCACAACCACCACAACCACCACAACCACAACCACCACAACCACCACAACCATCACCACTCCGACAACCACAACCACCACCACAACCACTCCGACAACCACAACCACCACCACAACCACTCCTACAACCATCACCACTCCTACAACCACAACTACCACCACAACCACCACCACAACCACTCCTACAACCACAACCACCACCACAACCACCACCACAACCACTCCGACAACCATCACCACTCTGACAACCACAACCACCACCACAACCACTCCGACAACCACAACCACCACCACAACCACTCCTACAACCACAACCACCACCACAACCACTCCGACAACCAACCACCACCACAACCACTCCTACAACCATCACCACTCCTACAACCACCACAACCATCACCACTCCTAAACCATCACAAACCATCACCACTCCTACAACCATCACCACTCCTACAACCACCACAACCATCACCACTCCTACAACCATCACAACCATCACCACTCCTACAACCATCACCACTCCTACAACCATCACCACTCCTACAACCATCACAACCATCACCACTCCTACAACCATCACCACTCCTACAACCACCACAACCATCACCACTCCTACAACCATCACAACCATCACCACTCCTACAACCATCACCACTCCTACAACCATCACCACTCCTACAACCACCACAACCATCACCACTCCTACAACCATCACCACTCCTACAACCATCACCACTCCTACAACCACCACAACCATCACCACTCCTACAACCATCACCACGCCTACAACCATCACCACTCCTACAACCATCACCACTTCTACAACCACCACAACCATCACCACTCCTACAACCACCAAAACCACCACAACCACCACAACCATCACCACTCCTACAACCATCACCACTCCTACAACCATCACCACTCCTACAACCATCACCACTCCTACAACCACCACAACCATCACCACTCCTACAACCATCACCACTCCTACAACCATCACCACTCCTACAACCACCACAACCATCACCACTCCTACAACCATCACCACTCCTACAACCATCACCACTCCTACAACCACCACAACCATCACCACTCCTACAACCATCACCACTCCTACAACCATCACCACTCCTACAACCACAACAACCACTCCTACAACCACCACAACCACAACTATCACCACTCCTACAACCACAACCACAACAACTACCACAACAAGCACCACAACCACAACAATCACCACTCCTACAACCACAACAACCACCACAACAAGCACCACAACCACAACAATCACCACTCCTACAACCACTCCTACAACCACAACATCCACAACCACTCCTACAACCACAACAACCACCACAACCACTCCTACATCCACAACATCCACAACCACTCCTACAACCACAACATCCACAACCACTCCTACAACCACAACATCCACAACCACTCCTACAACCACAACAACCACCACAACCACAACCACTCCTACAACCACAACATCCACAACCACTCCTACAACCACAACATTAACAACCACTCCTACAATCACAACAACCACCACAACCACAACCACTCCTACAACCACAACATCCACAACCACTCCTACAACCACAACCACTCCTACAACCACAACAACAACCACCACCACAACCACAACCATCACCACTCCTACAACCACAACCACAACAATCACCACTCCTACAACCACCACACACAACCACCACCACAACTACAACCACCACCACAACAACAACAATCACCACTCCTACATCCACAACCACTCCTACAACCACAACATCCACAACCACTCCTACAACCACAACAACCACCACAACCACCACCACAACCACAACAATCACCACTCCTACAACCACAACCACCACTCCTACAACCACAACCACCACCACAACCACTCCTACAACCACAACCACTCCTACAACCACAACATCCACAACCACTCCAACAACCACAACAACCACCACAACCACCACCACAACCACTCCTACAACCACAACAACCACCACAACCACAACAACCACTACTCCTACAACCACAACCACTCCTACAACCACAACCACCACTCCTACAACCACAACAACCACCAAAACAAGCACCACAACAACAACAACTACAACCACCACAATCACCACAACAACAACCACCACCACAACAATCACCACTCCTACAACCACAACAACCACTCCTACAGCCACAACATTCACAACCACTCCTACAACCACAACATCCACAACAACAACAACCACAACCACTCCTACAACCACAACCACTCGTACAACCACAACCACTCGTACAACCACAACAACAACAACCCAACAACCACAACCACTCCTACAACCACAACAACACCACAACCACAACAACCACTCCTACAACCACAACAACCACCACAACCACAACCACCACAACAACCACAACAACCACCACGACCACAACCACCACGACCACCACCACTGGTGATAGTGATGGTGATGTTGCTGATGTCAGGATTGTGTCGCGATGATGATGGTGATGGTGGTGATGGTGGTGATGGTGGTGGTGGTGATGTTGGTGGTGATGGTGATGTTGGTGGTGGTGATGGTGGTGATGGTGGTGATGGTGGTGATAGTGGTGATACTGATGGTGGTGATGGTGGTGATGGTGGTGATGGTGGTGGTGATGATAGTGATGATGGTGATGGTGGTGATGGTGTTGATGGTGGTGATGATGGTGGTGATGGTGGTCAGGGTGGTGTGGTGGGCATCATGGTGGAGTGGAACTGCGACCTGGACCTGAGCTGGGAGCGCTGTCGCCCCTCATACTCGTTCCAGCGCCTCGACGCGCGGCACAGCAACGAGACCATCGCACCTGGTTACAACTTCCGGTGAGCGCTCGCCACAACCACAACCACCACCACAACCACCACCACAACCACCACCACAACCACCACCACAACCACCACCACCACTACCACCACAACCACCACAACCACCACCACACCACCACCACAACCACAACCACCACCACAACCACCACCACAACCACCACAACCACCACCACAACCACAACCACCACAACCACCACCACAACCACCACCACCACAACTACCACTACCACCACCACCACAACCACCACCACCACCACGCTCACCACGGCTCTCTGTGTGTTGTGTCAGCTGTGGGTTCGTCTTCTCACCCTGGGCACTCCACCCACTCCTGCTGCTGCTGCTCAATGTTGAGTTGGTGGTCGAGGCAAGGCTGAGAGTCGCTGTGCGCCCCCCCCCCCCCCCCAGCTTCTCTCGCTACTTCCTCAACGCGAACGGCACGGAGAGCCGAGCCCTCATCAAGGCGTACGGCGTCCGCTTCGTGGTGCAGGTCTACGGGCAGGTGAGGGTGGTGAGGGTGGTGAGGGTGGTGAGGAATAGGCTGGTGAGGGTGGTGAGGGTGGTGAGGAATAGGGTGGTGAGGGTGGTGAGGGTGGTGGGTGTGGGGTTGTGAGTGTGCTGAGTGTGTGCTGAGTGTGGTGAGTGTGGTGAGTGTGGTGAGGGTGGTGAGTGCGGTGTGGTGAGTGTGGTGAGTGCGGGGTGGTGGGTGTGGTGAGTGTCGGCTGGTGAGGAATATGGTGGTGAGTGTGGTGAGTGTGGTGGGTGTGGGGTTGTGAGTGTGGTGAGTGTGGTGAGTGTGGGGTGGTGAGTGTAGTGAGTGTGGTGAGTGTGGTGAGGGTGGTGAGGGTGGTGAGGGTGGTGAGTGTGGGGTGGTGAGGAATAGGGTGGTGAGTGTGGTGAGTGTGGTGGGTGTGGGGTTGTGAGTGTGGTGAGTGTGGTGAGTTTGGTGAGTGTGTGGTGGTGGGTGTGGTGAGTGTGGTGAGTGTGTGGTGAGTGTGTGGTGGTGGGTGTGGTGAGTGTGGTGAGTGTGTGGTGAGTGTGTGGTGGTGGGTGTGGTGAGTGTGGTGAGTTTGGTGAGTGTGTGGTGGTGGGTGTGGTGAGTGTGGTGAGTGTGTGGTGAGTGTGTGGTGGTGGGTGTGGTGAGTGTGGTGAGTGTGTGGTGAGTGTGTGGTGGTGGGTGTGGTGAGTGTGGTGAGTGTGTGGTGAGTGTGTGGTGGTGGGTGTGGTGAGTGCGGCTGGATAGAGGGCGGGTAAACAGAAGAGATGGGCTGATGAGTGGGTGGGTGGGTGGGTGATTGTGTGGGTGGGTGGGTGAGTGGGTGGGTGATTGTGTGGGTGGGTGGGTGGTTGATGATGTTGCTATGATGATGTTGCTGTGATGATCTTGTGATGATGTTGCTGTAATGATCTTGTGATGATGGTGTTGCTGTGATGATGTTATGATGATGATATTGCTATGATGACGTTGCTATGACGATGTCTCACTAGGGGAGGAAGTTTAACATCATACCCACGCTGATGAACGTGGGATCGGGAATCGCACTCCTAGGGGTGGTGAGTGAAAATATGGTATGGTGCTAGTGGTATGGTGCTAGTTGTGTGGTGCTAGTGGTGTGGTGCTAATGGTGTGGTGCTAGTGGTATGGTGCTAGTGGTATGGTGCTAGTGGTATGGTGCTAGTGGTGTGGTGCTAGTGGTATGGGGCTAGTGGTGTGGTACTAGTGGTGTGGTGTTAGTGGTATGATGCTAGTGGTGTGGTGCTAGTGGTATGGTGCTAATGGTATGGTGCTAGTGGTGTGGTGTAAGTGGAGTGGTGCTAGTGGTATGGTGCTAGTGGTGTGGTGCTAGTGGAGTGGTGCTAGTGGTGTGGTGCTAGTGGAGTGGTGCTAGTGGAGTGGTGCTAGTGGAGTGGTGCTAGTGGTGTTGTGCTAGTGGTGTGGTGCTAGCGCAGTGATGCTAGTGGTGTGGTGCTAGTGGTGTGGTGCTAGTGGTGTGGTGCTAGTGGTGTGGTGCTAGTGGAGTGGTGCTAGTGGTGTGGTGCTAGTGGAGTGGTGCTAGTGGTGTGGGGCTATTGGTGTGGTGCTAGTGGTATGGTGCTAGTGGTGTGGTGCTAGCGGTGTGGTGCTAGTGGTGTGATGCTAGTGGTGTGGTGCTAGTGGTGTGGGGCTATTGGTGTGGTGCTAGTGGTATGGTGCTAGTGGTATGGTGCTAGTGGTGTGGTGCTAGTGGTGTGTTGCTAGTGGTGTGGTGCTAGTGGTGTGGTGCTAGTGGAGTGGTGCTAGTGGTGTGGTGCTAGTGGTATGGTGCTAGTGGTATGGTGCTAGTGGTGTGGTGCTAGTGGTGTGGTGCTAGTGAGGTGGTGCTAGTGGTATGGTGCTAGTGGTATGGTGCTAGTGGTGTGGTGCTAATGGTGTGGTGCTACTGGTGTGGTGCTAGTGGTATGGTGCTAGTGGTATGGTGCTAGTGGTGTGGTGCTAGTGGTGTGGTGCTAGTGAGGTGGTGCTAGTGGTATGGTGCTAGTGGTATGGTGCTAGTGGTGTGGTGCTAGTGGTATGGTGCTAGTGGTATGGTGCTAGTGGTGTGGTGCTAGTGGTCTGGTGCTAGTGGTATGGTGCTAGCGGTGTGGTGCTAGCGGTGTGGTGCTAGCGGTGTGGTGCTAGTGGTATGGTGCTAGTGGTATGGTGCTAGTGGTGTGATGCTAGTGGAGTGGTGCTAGTGGTGTGGTGCTAGTGGTATGGTGCGAGTGGAGTGGTGCTAGTGGTGTGGTGCTAGCGGTGTGGTGCTAGTGGTGTGGTGCTAGTGGTGTGGTGCTAGTGGTATGGTGCTAGTGGTATGGTGCTAGTGCTATGGTGCTAGTGGTGTGGTGCTAGTGGTATGGTGCTAGTGGTATGGTGCTAGTGCTGTGGTGCTAGTGGTGTGGTGCTAGTGGTGTGGTGCTAGTGGTATGGTGCGGTGTTCACGGTGCCAGGCCACGGTGGTGTGTGATGTTCTCGTGCTCTACGTCTTCAAACGCCGCCACTTCTACCGCGAGAAGAAATTCAAAGACGCCTGTGATGAGGACGGGGTGGAGGGGGACCGCACCCCTATGACGTAGCCGGTGAGGACACCTCACCTCACCACACCTCACCGCACCTCACCAAACCTCACCGCACCTCACCACACCTCACCGCACCTCACCACACCTCACCGCACCTCACCGCACCTCACCACACCTCATCACACCTCACCACACCTCACCGCACCTCACCACACCTCACCGCGCCTCACCACACCTCACCGCACCTCACCGCACCTCACCACACCTCATCACACCTCACCACACCTCACCGCACCTCACCACACCTCACCGCGCCTCACCACACCTCACCGCACCTCACCGCACCTCACGACACCTCACCGCACCTCACCGCACCTCACCGCACCTCACCACACCTCATCACACCTCACCGCACCTCACCACACCTCACCACACCTCACCGCACCTCACCACACCTCACCACATCTCACCACACCTCCCCTCACCGCACCTCACCGCACCTCACCACAACTCACCGCACCTCACCTCACCACACCTCACCACACCTCACCGCACCTCACCACACCTCACCGCACCTCACCACACCTCACCACATCTCACCACACCTCCCCTCACCGCACCTCACCGCACCTCACCACACCTCACCACACCTCACCGCACCTCACCACACCTCACCGCGCCTCACCACACCTCACCGCACCTCACCGCACCTCACCACACCTCATCACACCTCACCACACCTCACCACACCTCACCACACCTCACCGCGCCTCACCACACCTCACCGCACCTCACCGCACCTCACGACACCTCACCGCACCTCACCACACCTCACCGCACCTCACCACACCTCATCACACCTCACCGCACCTCACCACACCTCACCACACCTCACCGCACCTCACCACACCTCACCACATCTCACCACACCTCCCCTCACCGCACCTCACCGCACCTCACCACAACTCACCGCAACCTCACCTCACCACACCTCACCACACCTCACCGCACCTCACCACACCTCACCGCACCTCACCACACCTCACCACATCTCACCACACCTCCCCTCACCACAACTCACCGCACCTCACCTCAACACACCTCACCACACCTCACCACACCTCACCACACCTCACCACACACCCCACAACAACAACAACCGCCGTTCGCCACTAAGTGGCGGTGACGTCACCACGGCGCTTGTGCCGGGCCATGTGCACCCTGAGGCCACGTGAGGTCACGGGACAGACCCAGCAGGTGCCATGGGTTGACTGCGGTGCCAGGCTAGGTGCAGGAGATCTCGGGACAGACCCAGCAGGTGCCACGGGTCGACTGACTGAGATGACCGGTAGATGCACCACCTGTGCCCCCTACTGTGCCAACAACTCGCTGTCTTTAAGCCACCCGGCGCTCCGCTCGTTGTTGTGAGCGTCGCTCCTCCGCCCTCCCTTGTTGTTGGAGAGCGACTGCCTCCTACTACCCAGTAGCGTCCTTCACGAGCCTCCTCCTCCACAGAGGCCGATCTCACCACCACTGGTACCAGTCATTGGCAGGTCCACTCAGCTCCACTCAACTAAACGTCCTCCTGTACCACATCACTCAGTCTCTTCTCCAGCCCGTGCCGCGCCCATTTAGCCCCCTCGATCCGGCCAAACAAAAGCTGTTTAGGCATGCGGTGATTGGGCATGTGGGCTACATGACCCAGCCAACGCAGCCTTACCTACTGGGGGAGCTCACTGATGGGATTTTGTCCAGATCCTTCAAGGATTTGTGAGCTTCTTACAGAATCCAGCCTGCAGGTTAAACCCAGGATGGGTCATAGGCAGGGCCAGCCTGAATGTTTCTAACCCGGCGAAGATGTTCCATTAGAGGGGTCCAAGTTTCACAAGCGCAGAGAAGGGAGGGCATGACCATGGACGAGGACATCCCTGTCGCACCTCAAGGTGTACAGGGAATGGCTCCAACTGCCGGCCACGTAGTTTTACCCGGGCCCGCTCACCATCATGAAGGTCCTTAATGATTGTGAGCAGAGAGTCAGGGACTCCGAAAGCACGAAGAACAACCCAGAGCCCAGGCCTATTGATGATATCATAGGCCTTGACCAGGTCAACGAAGCAGAGACGTAGGTGCTCTTGGAATTCCCTACACCTCGGCTGTAGTGCAGACACAAACTATGGCATCTGTGCAGGTCCGCCCTTTCCTGAAACCGCATTGGGGCTCCGCAAGCCTCTCCTCAGCGTGCCTGGCAAGGCGATGTTGGATAATCCTTCCCTTGACCTTTCCGGGCACACTGAGGAGTGAGATGCCCCTGTAGTTGTTACAGTCTGTATGGTCTGCCTTCTTAAAAGAGGGGGACCACCAGGGCATCCTTCCAATCCTGCGGAACCCGTCCAGTGGTCCAGAGTGTTATTGTGATGTCATATAGGGCAGTCTGTGCACAAACCCCATGTTCCCTCAGCATTTAGCTTGGGAGATCATCTCTGCCCGATGATTTTCCTCGTCTCAGACTCTGGGTTACCTTCAGTATTCCTCAACAGGATGGCACCCTCAGCCAGCCCACTCACAGGGAGTGACTACTTCTTCCAATATTTTGAGGCACTGCAGCCTCAGCAGGCTGAGATTCAGTCGGTACCAGTCCAGCTCCCGACAGAGGAGTGGCAGCCTCTCCTCCGCAGTGAGCATTCGAACATTCCACGTGGCCACCCGTAGTGTGCTTTGCGATGTTTCTGGAGGAACCCCGAGGGAGAGATTCAGTCTCCTTGCTCTGGCAATTGGGGTTAGGCCAGGAGACGTCATAGACGCCTTTGTCCCCGGGGCCTCCGGCATAAGCTTAGCCGGATATTTTCCAAGTGGTTTAGTGGTAATTAATTGAAGATGGAGGAGGGGTCACCAGCCCCTCGCACCCGTCCAGAGCCCCCAATTGGCCTCTGTGGTGGACACAAACGCCATGAAGGGGCATGGCCAATTTTAAAATCGGCCTCCCCTACATGGCATTCCTCACCACACTCACCACACACCCCTCACCACACTCAACTCACCACACTCACCACACCACACTCACCACACCACACTCACCTCACCACACTCACCACACTCACCACACTCACCTCACTCACCACACTCACCTCACCATACTCACCTCACCACACTCACCACACACACCTCACCACACTTACCACACTCACCACACACCCCTCACCACACTCACCACACACCCCTCACCACACTCACCCATCACCACACACCCCTCACCACACTCACCACTCAGCCCTCACCACTCACCCCTCACTACAGCTCTCTCTCTCTCTGTCAGGTGGCACCAACGATGGGAAGCTGACCTCTGACCTCTGACCTCATCCAGGCCCAGAGTGGACACGGAGTGGGCGATGGTGACCCATCACCTCTCACTCCTCACCCATCCCTCACCCATCCCCTCACCTCTCCTCACCTCAGCCATCGCTAACCCATCTCTTACCTCTACCACGATTGCTGTTGCGTGTTTCACTTGAACGATACCATGTCCACCATCACCACCACCATCGCCTGAAGCCTGTACTATTAAACGGGATGATGATGCTGAGTCTGGTTTTAGTCAAATCTGTCTCTCTCCCATCAGTGTGTTCACAGTCACTGCGTGCTATGATGGGGCTCTTTATAGACAACGCGGCCAGAGGAACGTGGAGTGGACACGGGGAGTTTGTAGCACATGGGGAGGGGTTACCCAGATTCTCACACAGACACAGCCCCTCGCATAGAGACCCACAGACATCTATAGAGACCCACAGACTAACACAGAGACCCACAGACTAACACAGAGACCCACAGACTAACGCAGAGACCCACAGACTAACGCAGAGACCCACAGACTAACGCAGAGACCCACAGACTAACACAGAGACCCACAGACTAACAGAGACCCACAGACTAACGCAGAGACCCACAGACTAACGCAGAGACCCACAGACTAAAGCAGAGACCCACAGACTAACACAGAGACCCACAGACTAACACAGAGACCCACAGACTAACACAGAGACCCACAGACTAACGCAGAGACCCACAGACTAACACAGAGACCCACAGACTAACACAGAGACCCACAGACATCTATAGAGACCCACAGACTAACGCAGAGACCCACAGACTAACATAGAGACCCACAGACTAACACAGAGACCCACAGACTAACACAGAGACCCACAGGCTAACACAGAGACCCACAGACTAACACAGAGACCCACAGACTAACGCAGAGACCCACAGACTAACACAGAGACCCACAGACTAACACAGAGACCCACAGACTATCACAGAGACCCACAGACTAACACAGAGACCCACAGACTAACACAGAGACCCACAGACTAACACAGAGACCCACAGACTAACACAGAGACCCACAGACTAACACAGAGACCCACAGACTAACACAGAGACCCACAGACTAACACAGAGACCCACAGACTCACACAGAGACCCACAGACTAACGCAGAGACCCACAGACTAACGCAGAGACCCACAGACTAACACAGAGACCCACAGACTAACACAGAGACCCACAGACTAACGCAGATAATTAAATGAAAATAAAGTAACGTTAAATTATGAACATTTTGTGTAATGTTAATGTAATTATATGTAATTAAAACGTAATAAAAAGTGTGCTAATGATTATCATAGATTACATTTAATAATTAACTATCATAGATTACGATGAATAATTAGGAGGCACACACATAATTACAAATAAAGTCACCACAATGTATTATTATTATTATTAAGACTGGCTGTAATTTGTCTCGGGGTTTGTATTATCAATCGTGACGATGACGCATCTCTCGCTCCTCCTCTACCCAGGAGCCACCGTGGGTACACTCCTCGTCACCGTGGGTACACTCCTCGTCACCGTGGGTACACTCCTCGTCACCGTGGGTACACTCCTCGTCACCGTGGGTACACTCCTCGTCACCGTGGATACACTCCTCGTCACCGTGGGTACACTCCTCGTCACCGTGGGTACACTCCTCGTCACCGTGGGTACACCTCTCGTCACCGTGGGTACACTCCTCGTCACCGTGGGTACACTCCT